CATGCATGCATATGTGTGTGTTCCCATGTTTGTGGTCACATGCATATGTTTGTGTCCTCATGTTTGTGGTCACATGCATGTATGTGTGTGTGTGTGTTCCCATGTTTGTGGTCACATGCATGCATATGTGTGTGTTCCCATGTTTGTGGTCACGTGCATGCATATGTGTGTGTTCCCATGTTTGTGGTCACATGCATGCATGTGGATGTCAGAAACGGAAGTTGGACTCTCCTTCCCTAGCTGAGGCAAGGTCTCACTTGAATCCAGAGCTCACTGATTTGGTGAACCTAGCTTGCTCCAGGAATTCCCTGTCACCATTGCCCAAGTACTGGGTCTATGGTGGCCTGGCATTTCTTCCTCAAGCCTATGCAGAGTGCTTTACCCACAGAGCCATCTTACCAGTCCTTAACTCTGTTTTAGCTGAGAAAGGTGAGGTTCAAGATTAAGGCATCCACTAAAGTTCATACAGCTGCCCCTAGACAGTGCTCGTCACTCTTGAGGGCTTCTGCCTCTGCTGCTCTTCTGGGGAGAAGGAACAGCTTAGACTTGGAAGCGAAGAGCATCCGGGGACTGGGGAGCACTACATGGCTATAGCAGGTTTCTGTATATCTGGGTGAGGCTTACAGGGAAATGGATGAGATGGGAGATGACAGGGAGCAATCAGAGTGACCTGGGAACACACAACACACGTAGAAGCTCTGACACTCTGTTCTGAGGTCTGGGGAGGGTTCAGCAGAGTATAAGGGCAGGTGGCATCTGTCCACCAAAGTGTCCTGTCCCAAGTTGGTGGCCAGAGTAGGAAAACCCAGAGACAGGGAGGCTTTGGGAGAAGCACTAAGCTGGCCAAAGTCAGTGGAGACCAAAGGGTAGAGCCAAGACCCACGCAGACCAAACAGGCAGCCTCCAAGGACCCTGGATCCCTTCCTTCTGGCTGGTGGCTGTCCTGTCTCACCTGACCCGCCCTTCCTCCAGTTGGCGCAGGCGGGCATCCCGTGTGAGGACATCAGCGATGGCCTCCTGCTCCTCCTCTGTCAGGAAGCTGAGGTCCAGCAATCCCTCAAGATCAAGTTCTGACTCATGGGCCATGGGGAGGGAGGGCAGGGCCCAAAGCCTCTCGTGAGATGTGTGGCTTCTTTGGGGCATCAGCTGGGGTTGTGCCCCAGCTGGGCATATGTAGCTTCCTGGGGAGAGAGCAAGGGTCAGTGTCTTCTCAGATACACGGTACATCCTGGAGCCAACTGCCCGTTTTCTCCCAAGCACATACCCCAGTAGTAGGGAGTAATCAAAGGAGGGCCAGGCCAAGGTGAGGTGGGGTGTGTGGGGTGCACTTAAGAAGGCCACAGAACGCATCCCTTGAGGACACTGATATGTGTACCTGCTGTTCTACACACAGTCATATGGGTACAGGGATACCTGGTCAAAGACAGGTAATGACCACACATACACACACAAGAGGCCCGGGCCCAAGAGCTGTGCACAGCAAGTTTTAACCCTGCACACAGTATGTCCACACAAAGAAGACAATTACCCACCTCCATTAAGAATGAGTCTGTGTGTGTTCACAGGGACTCTGGCTTTCCTCACACACATTTAACCCACTATGAACTCCTTGAAGCCAAAGACAGCTCCTTCCCCACAAAGTCAGTACTCTGCACACAACATAACCTGATTCTTAATGAAATGCGAAAATAAACCTGCACAAACATGCAAGGGCACACCCAGCCATCTCCACCACCTATCTTATGCCCCTACCCAGGGAGCCTCCCAGCCCAGCCCGCCTCTGCCTTCGCCTCCCTCCACCCTGCCCTGGCCCATTTGGTCTTCCTGTCTGAGGCAACCTCCTCCCCAAACCTCACCCCCAACTTCCTCCCCCCACAATTTAACCACAGTGCTCAATTCCATTGAGGCCACCCGCCCCGAGATTCCCCGACAACAGCCCTGCCCTTTTGCTTAGAGGAGATTCTGAGCCCCTCTGATTACAGGGGCTCCCCAACCCCCAAACTTGGCTGGAGGCTTCAGCTGGCAAAACAACTCATACCCAGGCACCACAGCCACTCCGGAAGGAAAACATTACCAGCTGAGAGGGGCGTGTGGACGTGGCAAGGGCCCAGCACACAGTAGTGGCCCTGGCCTGGGCTCACTGGGACTCTATCCTGTCCTTCCCACCCCTTCCATGCCAGGCCTCCAGGCAGGGCTCAAGTGGGACTAGGGCAACACAGGGGCGGGTTCTGGCTTGTGCCTGTCTCCTCCTGGCCCTGGCCCTTCCCAGCTGGGTTGGTGTCCAAGTGTAGCAAGCAAGCCTTCTTTCCTACCCTGCTTTCCCTCTGGGGGTTTCTATACATCTGTATCTGCATAGCCCTGGACAGATACCTGTGTGCTGACAGTGACTGTTTCCCTGAATGGCTGGGCTTGCTTGGGACTCTTCTGTGGCATGGCATATAAGCATTGCTGCATTGTGCTGAATGGCTGCATTAACAGGATATAGACATGTCTGCAGGCCAGGGGATAGTATAGCATCCGAGCCTAAGTGCCGTGTTGTGCGACGCTACATGTCTTACAGGAGCGAACATGGTATGTGCAGTGACTTTTTGGAAGACAGTGCCGTGTGGGTGTGTGCATGTCTTCCTGTGTGGTTGGCCAGCCCGGGCTGTGTTGTGCTGTGTACTCCAGTGCCCTGGGGACCACCAGATGTGTATGTGCATGAAGGCAGAGGGACATGTGGCAGAACTGAGCCTGGCCTTGTCTTACAGGTTTGCTTGGTCTGGGCTGTGGGCCTCCAAGCCTCAAGCTCTTTCTCTTTCAGAGGCAGATCAAGTGCCTGGTTCCCCCCACCCTGTAGTAACATCATGGGAAAGACCCTTTGATGAAAAATAAAAGTATGCCAATCTGCCTGGCAGGCCAGAGTCATAAACTTGCTCGCACTTCCCCCATCCCAAGCTCCCAAAGTGCCAGAGTATGCTCAGGACACCAGGTGGCAGTGCCTGTCCCTTAGACCACTGGCAAGGGAGGTGTGTTACCTGTAGGGGTCCAGAAGGGAGGACAATTTCGAAGGCAACTCCAGCTCTTCAGGAAGGAGTTTCAGAGCACACAAGAGCAGTGGGGACTAAGGCTGACTGGCCCAGCTGCAGCTGCCCCAGCCCTGAGGAGGTGGAGGAGGAGGAGACACCTCAGCAGGGCCTGGTGCAAAACCGGGCCTGGACTGCAGCTCCTCAGGTGCACTGGTGCGCCCACAGCAGCTGTCAGAGAACCCAGGGCCAGTTTTGCAGGGCCCTGTAGCTGGGCCCAGCTGCATTGTAGATTTACCCTGCAACTAAAGCATGCCTCACCTGCAGGGCTAGCTCAGGGCCTTGGCTGGTCCATCTGTAGAATGGGTAATAGACTCACTCTGCCACAGAGGGCCAAGAGAAGATTGCTTTGAAAGCAAAGTCAGAAACTCTTCTAAAAACTACAGTAATGGGACGATTACAGAGTTGCCACTGGGCAACCTTGGACAGAATCCTGGCTTCAGCACTCACAGATTTAACCCCTCTGAGCAATAATTTTTTTCTATTCAAACTGGAGTGGAACCCAAAGAGAAGCACAAGTACCTGGTACAGCTGGTACACAGGTGCCTGGTACAGCTGGTACACAGGTGCCTGGTACAGCTGGTACACAGGTGCCTGGTACAGATGGCATGTAGTGATGCCAGGTGTCCTCTCTCCAACAGACCAATGTCCATGGCGATTTTAGTACCTCTGAGCACCATGTTCACAACCATTTGTCTCCTCTCAACCCTGGGCCCTTCTATTTGAAGAGCTCTGGATTCCAGTGCCAGTCCAGGAGCCCACACAGTCACTATCAAGTACCACATCCTGATCAGGAGAACCTGTTTTGGGCCTTAGAATATAGGGCTTGGGGACAATGATCTTCTGTAGCTATCCACATTCTGCTCTTAGGCACTAGAGGCCACTGCTATTTTATGTATGTGTACAAATGCTTTGACTACATATATGTATGTAAAACATGAGTGCCTGGTGCACAAGGGAACTAGAAAAAGGTGTCAGACTCTGGAACTGGAGTTATAGATGGTTGTGAGCTACCATGTGGGTGTTTGGGATTCCAAGGCCTCTGCAAGAGCAACAGGTACTTTAAGTGCTGAGATATCTCTTCAACCCCTCCTTTATCTTTTCAGGACAGGGTTTCTCTGTGTAGCCCTGGCTATCCTAGAACTCACTCTGGCCTTGAACTCAGAGATCTGCCTGCCTCTGCCTCCCAAGTGCTGGGATTAAAGCTGTGTGCCACTACCTGGCCTTTAGCCCCCTGAAAAAAAACTTTTTCAAATTCTATGTGCTACCATGGTGTGCATGTGGAGGCCAGAGGACCTTGCAACAGTCCATTCTCTCCTTCTGCCTTTTTGGAGATGGAACTCTTGGCTCTCAGTGCTCTTACTCTCTTGAGCCACACTGCTGGCCTCCAAGCTTACTTGCTTCTAAATGTTTTTGTGTGTAGATGTTTTTGCCTGCATGGATGTTTGTGCATTACATGTGTGCCTGATGCCTGTGGAGACCAGAAGAGGGCACTGGACCCCTTGGACTGGAGTTACAGATGTGAGGTACCATGTAGGAGCTGGAATCTGGTCCTCTGGAAGAGCAACCAACTTTTGCTCTTAATCACAGGATCATTTCTCCAGCCCCACACTTTCTTTTTTTGTATTATTTTTATTTTTGGGTTTTCGAGACAGGGTTTCTCTGTGGCTTTGGAGGCTGTCCTGGAACTAGCTCTTGTAGACCAGGCTGATCCTCTGCCTCTGCCTCCCGAGTGCTGGGATTAAAGGCGTGTGCCACCACCACCTGGCACTATTTTTATTTTTTTGATGGTCGAGAGCCACCATCTTCTGGAAAAACTGCCAGGGCTCTTAACCACTCAGCTACTACTCACCCTGACTTGTTTTTGTCAGTCTTATTTTCAGTTTCTTTTTCCTTAAGTCAGTTAATAATCACTTAGGTTTTCAGTTCTAGAGCATGAACCCTAGATTCTCAGATAACCCATGTATAGGGATGGAGGTAGCTCAGTGAAAACGTGAATTTACACGTGTGCTTTCCACTAGTGTCTCCATGGAAGTGGTCAACTGTACCACCAAGTTTCTCCCACTGATGAAAGTGGCAAACAGCTCAAGGATGCTTCTCTGGTCCTTCTCCCACCTCTCAGCACCCCTGAAAGGCATCCAATCTTGCCAGTTTTCATGGCCAAGTGTCCTTTTTAGGTGGGGCTCTGCTGGCTTTTGGGCCTCTTGCTTCCTCTGAACTTGGACAAGTCATGCGGGTACTCATTTCTTCATCTGCAACATGGACTGATAGCGCCTGCCTTACACAGCTGTCAGGAGGTTACATAATCACGCTCCACTCTGTAACAAGGGCCAGTACAGATGAGCACGAGTGCTGCAGCTGGAACCATGTCTTGTCCCTGGAAACAGCCCTTAAGCTGCGCTTTGGTGGATCAGGAGTACATACCTGGTATATGGTGAGGAACAAGAACCCTGGCAGTCATAGAAAGAGGCACCAAGGAGCAAGCTGACATGATTGTGGGGTAGGCATGGGGAGCTCAACATGGCCACCATACACTATGTGGTCAGGGCTGCCATTCCTCTTGGCTTACTCCAACTGTGCATTCCCGGCTGAGGAAGCAGCTCACTCCCAAATCCAATCCTATTGCCAAGTTTTTCCCAATAGGGAAGATGTTCTAGAAGGAAACTTGGAACATGGACCAGGAACAGCTGGGACTTCCCACAGCCTGTGCAGTGGCGGAATTTACAACGAATATTGATCTGCCCCTAAGCTTCAGTGGGGAAGACCCAGACATGTTAGCACTTAGATCTCTTTGTCCCAGGACCCCAGGGATATATGAACTTAAGGAATTGGGGGATGGGGGGGTAGAGGAAGAAAATGACGGACACCACCTGACTTGACACTTTATTTCCTGCCAGGGAGCCCCTTATAAAGGAGCAGGGGGTAAGGCAGGCTGCACAGGGTTCATTGCAGCAACCGGAAGTAGACCCAGCAGATCCATGGTGCCACCAGCTGCTCTGATGGGTTACTCACTTTGTACATAAGGGGTTCTATCACCAGCATGAGGACTCCCTGGGCTGGAAATAAGTGGGGTTCACATTACCTGATTTACAGGGGACCCACTCTGCATGTAAGGCCATTCACCTTGCTAGCCAGGGCCCAGATGAGGGGCAATGGGGTATACACTTCAGAAGAGCCTGGCTAGCCCTTCCAGTCCGTTCTAGGCCAGCAGAGAAGGTTCCAAGTCTCTTGGCTCGCAGTGCTTCTGAGAACACCACACCCAACTTTGGGATGCTACCAGTCAGAAAGCAGCTTCAAATCCAGCTCTGGACACAGCTTTGCCCAGTGGCAGTAGGTGCTCTAAAGGCAGGCCTTCCCAGGACAGCAATGGGGATGCCACAAAGGTGAGGTCACAAGCCCAGGGAGAGGACAAGGAGGCTCTAAGTGGCCTTATCTCATACTCTACTTCAGCACTTCCATCCGGAGCCCTGACCCTACTTCCA